TTCCATGGACACGCAACCATGGACACGTTTCATGGTGCCTCCAGCGGAAGGCCACTCCAAGGCCACTCCAAGACCTGAGCTTGAGTTGGAGCTCTTGATGATCCTTCACACTCTCTCTCTAGCTCAAGAGCTCATGTGGTACGTTGACCGGTCAAACTACGACGCTTTGGTCAAAGCAGTGGGATACGAACTTATCCGGCAAGGAGACAAACGACGTGGAGGCGGAGCAGCACCCATCGCTTGTCGTCGAATGGGACGAACATGACGGGGAGTTGTCCCAGCCGTCAGATCAACGAGGTGCTCGTGGGGTGGCGGAGGCCGCAAGAGAGCAGCCAGCAGAGGTTACAGTGCGACGGCCTCGTGAGTGGAGCCGGCGGTGGGCCACAGACGCTTGCTCGCCCCTGCCACTGCGGTTGCGTCCCAAGGAAGCAAAAGGGTCGGAAGTCGGAGGGGTGCAGCGGGAGGAGCGCCAGCGCAGCTCCTCGGGCCGCGAGGGGCGCGTGCGACGGCCAGAAACGGACGAGCGGCCGCCGCCCTGTCTCGAGGAGCTCGTGACGACGTCACCCCGGTTTCGGAAGCCGGCCGGCCTGTCGGCTGCCCGCGGATTTTGCATCTCAATGGGACGGTAGTCGAACACAACACTTACCCTTCCGACGTACCTGCGTTCTGATTGGAGGCGCCAATTGGTCCCACTTCACTGTTTCACCTGGCAAACGTGTCTGTGAGTCGCGCGGCGTTCTAACGTCCTGCCCAATCTCACCCGCGTATAATTCCTGCGCCTTCTGGCACGGCACACTGTTTGATGCGCTTTCGATGGGTCCCATGTGTTAAAGGCTGCCTCGTATGGTTTACTGTCGGTCATTGCACTGTTCCTATCGGATATGTTTGCGATCTGAGTTCTTGAGACCACGAAATTAAAATAACAAATCAAATTGCATATTGTTCATACTGTGTGTGTTTCAAGTTTTTAGTTATTTCAGTATAACTTCCCCTTTTTGTTTTATTTTGATAGAATATTTAAAAATAATAATAAAATTATCTCTCATCTTCGCTCCGTGCGCAAAGAACGAGAGAGGAGCTGAAGTAAAGCTGATGGAAGGATGATTATACTGATGACGATAAAGAGGCGATCACGCGGAGGTCAAAATAATCTCGTTTTTTATAAATTAAAAAATAAAGTAAAGTGAAAAATCAAATGCTCTATGAAAAAAAATAAAAACCTACGATTTTTTTAGACTATATATATATATATATATGTACAGTAATTATAATAATATATTTTATTTTATTCCCCTATGATGTGGCCTCCTTATCATCAAGACGTTATCCCGACTTTAAGTTTCGACGAGTCAATAACGGAAGTTTGTTCGTGTGTTCATTTAGGCTGAGTTCGTGGGGAGAACGATATTAATACTACTAATCGTTACTCAACGATCAGCTGTCAGAGTCGTGCATGCCTGATGGACGGTTAATATGCTTAGACATTGGAGTGAGCTGTAAGCTACCCTGATGGACTCCGAAGTCACATACTATTACATATATAGTTGATTAGATTAGTAATATGGGTGTCCTCATCGTCATCGTTTGCGTCCATTACAAGCGGAAATTTAGGTGATAAGTTCTTATCCTCTCTAATCTTCCATCAGAAAACTAAAAGACGTCACAGCTCACAACCGATACCGATCGGCCGTTGAGCCCGTACGTCCTCGTCCACCGTTCGATCCGAGACGCAGCGGATCCCATCCGTCCATACCACCACTGGCTTCCCTCTCCCCCTTTTCCATTTCAATCGTTGTTCTCCTTCTCTCTTCCTTCCCCCTGAGAGCAGCGGAGAGGAACCCGATCGAGATCGGTCGCTGCTTGCCTCCTCTTCCCCTGTCATAATACTTCGTGTAACATGGACGGAGCTCCGGCGAACGACTTCCCGGTGGCGCTGACGCACGGCGGCCGGTATTTGCAGTACAACATCTTCGGCAATCTGTTCGAGATTACATCGAAGTATCGCCCGCCGATTATGCCGATCGGGAGAGGCGCATACGGGATCGTCTGGTACTTCATCTTTTCCTATTCGTGTTCTGCTGTTGCTGCGGAGATTTGGATCATCTGCCGTCGATCGGTTGATGACTCTGTTATTGATTGTTTGTTACAGTTCGGTGATGAATTCAGAAACTGGGGAGATGGTCGCCATCAAGAAAATTGCCAACGCCTTCGACAACCACATGGACGCGAAGCGAACGCTACGGGAGATCAAGCTCCTCAGGCACTTGGACCATGAGAACGTAAGCCACCAAAACCCTATCACCTTGGAAGGTTGTTTCATGTAATTGATTCAAAATAGTTAGGACATTCGATTTTATTATTGTTGTAGCTTGACAATGATTCTTCTGTTATTTTAGTTCTCTTAATATACAATTGTTGAGCAAGTGGAACTTTGGTTGATGAAAGAGCTGCTCACAGAAGATTTAATTGATTCCTTGATACCTCAGTCCTACAATTCACAACAATTAACATGCCAAGAAGACCAGATATATAACTACTTTTCTTCTGTGTTATATGTGATGTCTAAATATCTTTAAACCCACTCATAATATGCAAACCTAGCTTAATTCTCAGGTTTTTTGAGAGAATTATACTTCATATTTGTTATATCCCCAGAATTCGTCAAGAGAATTTTTGTCTTAGATTTACCAAATATGCAAGAACTCGAGAGTTGCATATAGGATTGATGTGTTATCCCACTGAACTGTTCTTGACAGAAATCTGCTGTAACAATGTAGAGCTATTCCTGGTTTCAGCTTGCCCCATTCAGTGTCTTAACATTGAGAACTGTGGATTAAGGATGTAATTGCCTGCCATATATTGTCTCTACTAACTGTGATCTAATGGTTCTACAAACAAATCGGCAGGTTATTGGAATCAGGGATGTGATTCCCCCACCGATTCCTCAAGCATTTAATGATGTCTATATCGCCACCGAGCTCATGGATACCGACCTTCATCATATAATCCGTTCTAATCAACAATTATCGGAGGAGCATTGTCAGGTAATTAGACTCGACACCGAAGTAAACTTGATTCGCTCAATTCTGATGTCCAACTGATCGCTTTCTATTGCCCCAATTATGCAGTACTTTTTGTATCAGATTCTTCGTGGATTGAAATACATACATTCAGCGAAAGTTATTCATCGAGATCTGAAGCCGAGCAATCTTCTGCTGAATGCAAACTGTGATCTTAAGATCTGTGATTTCGGTCTCGCCCGCCCTGCTTCGGAGAATGAGATCATGACGGAGTACGTGGTGACCAGATGGTACAGAGCGCCTGAGTTGCTGCTGAACTCGACGGACTACACTGCAGCCATCGATGTGTGGTCCGTTGGTTGCATCTTCATGGAGCTGATGAACAGGCAAACCCTGTTCCCGGGAAGGGATCACATGCACCAGATGCGTTTGATAACGGAGGTAGTAAGATCATGGATTACTCCATGAATCCATTGCAACGTCGTTCTCCTCTACCACTTCCAACTGGCATCATTCTTTGTCTTCAGATTATTGGCACTCCAACGGAACCCGAGCTTGGATTTCTTCGGAGTGAAGATGCAAGAAGGTACATGAGGCATCTCCCGCGTTATCCTCCTCGGTCGTTCGTAGGTCTATACCCGCATATCAATCCAGTTGCCATTGATCTCGTTGAAAGAATGCTCACATTTGATCCCACCAGGAGAATTACAGGTATCCTCGCCTTTGATGCTTCTGCATCGTTGAGTCTTCTCTTTGTCCTGCAAATAAACACGAGTGCATATCATCTGAACTTAATAAAAGACTTGATGTTGTCGTAGTTTCGAGTTGGCTTGCTTACTCTGGCTTCTCATCATTTCTGCGCAGTCGAAGAAGCATTGGATCATCCATACCTCGAGAGATTGCATGATGTTGCTGATGAACCCACTTGCATGGACCCTTTCTCCTTTGATTTTGAGCAACATGCCCTCACGGAAGAGCAGATGAAGGAGCTGATACACAGAGAGTCTATAGCGTTCAATCCAGACTACAAGTGCTGAGGGAAATCGGTTCATTTGAAATTTGTCATCAGCTGGTGCTGTGTATACTACAAAGCATGAAGAATTGGTGATGTGAATCTATTTTTTGCATTCTTTATGTTGCATTAGTGTCTGGTTGTATGTATGAAGAATTGTTACTGTGTTTCTCTGCTGACTGATTTTTTTGTCTGGGCAAAGATCCATGAGATCACCTCTGTATCTTTTAGCCATTTTTATTCTGTTCCTGTTCTGATGCCTCTCATACGTATGTACTTGATATGGTTGGATATTCTTATGTCAACAATACTTGTTATGTCAGTGTAAATGAAAACGACAAATATCATCCTTACCATAAATAAAAGCAGATATGAAATGAGCTTTCTGCTTCTCGTTGACTTACTCGGATATTATTCATTTTAGACATTCAAAGCCATGTACAAATATGAAAGGAGCCATTCAGATCCATATACAAATATGACCTTCTCATCACATCGGATCACTGTTTTTGCACGCCATCGACAGAATTAGTGATCAGAGAGAACAATACTTCCCTTCATGTTATCAGAGAAATTAATATCAAATTCATGTCACGTGTCGATGGACTATTGGACGACGCGACGCGAGCGTCAACGTATCGCCAGAAGCTTCTTTCCGACGTATTCAGCGGTGTGAATCACGTTCAGACAAACGAAATGGTCGACGGCACGCAACACGATTCCTCTCCAAGTCTCAGACCGCACTGTGCACGTCTGTAGGCAAAGTGGCACGTGCGTTAGTTAAGCGGAAATTGTCGCGCACGTGGCGCCTGCCCGGTTGGATGACGCTGTGGTGGTCAAGCAGCTGTGAGAAAGGCCTTTTAAAGGTTCCGGAAAAAGGTTGCCGCAATGGGGAACGTTGGAGGTGGGGCCCAACGGCGGGGGTGGCCGTAAAACGTTGGGAAAGCATTTGTTTCACGCGTTCCCATTTGTCCATCAGCGGATTATATATATATATATATATATATATACATATATATATATATATATACATATATATATATATATATATACATATATATATATATATACATATATATATATATATACATATATATATATATTTATATATATATATATATTTATATTATATTCCATCGTTTACTGTTCTTCTGTCTTTATCTTTCTTCGGTACGACTTGAAATAGCGAAGAATCCCACTTGGTGGAGTGGGTTGCTACCGAGAAGAGGTCGAATCCGATCGAGGACGGTTGATCTTTTTTGTGCTTCTTCTGACATGAGTCGGAGAGGAGCGATGCTAGGCCTCGACTTGGCATCGTCCTTCGACTCGACATCTCTGGAAGCGAAGTCCGGCCGCGAGCAGATGGATGATTCGGTGACCACCGATTCATCCGTCCTCGATGCCGAGGATTCCCGCTCCACCCGACCCGCGGCAGCGTACGAGTTCAGTATCTTGAAGGGTTATGTGTCGGGAGAAGGCGAGAACGGGGACGGGATCGGAGCCCCGCAGCAGCCTGGGTTGGTCACCAAGCAGCTCTTTCCGCTGGCGCCATTGCCTCTTTGGATGGATCTCACTCCACATCAACCGCCGACCAAAAAGAGTCGCAGGGGGCCGCGGTCTCGGAGCTCTCAGTACCGGGGCGTCACGTTCTACCGCAGGACAGGGAGATGGGAATCTCACATTTGGTTAGCGTCTTTTCTTTGCCCTTTGAATCTTGCTTCTTCTCCCCCAAAATTTAGGTGATTTATCATCCGTTTGCTTCTCTTTGCTAGGGATTGTGGGAAACAGGTGTATTTGGGTAAGCAGTTCTATATTCAATTGATCTGATCGGAAATTTTCTGATGGTTTACTGTTTGTTTTGAATTTGATTGGTCGATCCGTAACAGGAGGCTTTGACACTGCTGAAGCTGCTGCAACGTGAGGATGGTTTTATTGGCTGCTTCTGTTCCTTTTGTGTCATGTCTATTAGCTATTTACGCAGTGGCATTCTACTTTCAGGACATATGATCGAGCTGCAATCAGGTTTCGGGGAGTCGATGCTGACATCAATTTCAATCTTAGTGACTATGAAGAAGATCTGAAGCAGGTAATTAAATTCAAAAAAAAAAAAGGTACAAAAGTATTTTGGATGCTCAACTCATATTTCCTTTTTGTGGTTTTGTTTTTATCAAATTTTAGATAAAATACCTACCAAAGGTAGAATTTGTGCATTTTCTTCGTCGACAAAGCACGCGATTCTCAAGGGGTGGTTCAAAATACAGAGGAGTGACCCTTCACAAGTGTGGTCGTTGGGAAGCTCGGATAGGGCAATTCCCTGGCAAGAAGTGAGACATCAATGCTACGATCCTTGTTCCTGCTTAGTTGTTAGTGTTATCCTTTGCAAAATGCTATGATCCTATGCATGGATGTGCAGGTACGTATATCTTGGACTGTTCGACAGCGAAATAGAAGCTGCAAGGTTGTGTCGGGCATGAAATTTCTGATTGCTGATCGCGAATCTCTCGATATTAATTTCCAACACCAGTTTCCTAATTCTCTTTGTTGTTTGTCTACATTAGGGCTTACGACAAGGCAGCTATAAAGTATAATGGAAGCAATGCTGTTATCAATTTTGATCCAAGTACCTACGAAGAAGTAATTTCCGAGTATGTTACCAAAGGTATGTACCGTAAAGAATGAAACGAAGAATATATCTGTGTTTGATATGATGCTCTCTATTTATACACGTAAGGAGGAAGGATTTTCCTCAACAGAGTAATGATATTTCCTCATGTAGTTGGGGAAATCACAGTTGCTATCATGGAAAATCTTAGTTGCTATCATATACTCCACAAGTTGCAAACTCCATTTCACGAACTAACTGAATGGTTGCTTGATGATACTTTGTAGACCGATATGAGTTTGAACATATTTTTAATTGGTCGCAGCCGATGATGTGGATCTGAATTTGAGGATTTCCCAGCCTGTTGTCCACGGTCCAAAGGGGAATGGAATTCATTGTGGAGCCAATTTGAAGCCGATGATGCCGACAGAACAATGGTAATCAATTAGCCTACACCTAGAAATTGTTGAAGAATTTTCATACCTTTGTTTTTGAGATCTGAATTTACTTTTTCTTTGATGGCATTAATAGTACAAATGTGTTCTTGGTGGATCGATATATTGTGTCTGACATTTCTGAATCTGTTCCTGTTTGTTTCTGCCTTATTGACAGTAGAGTTTGTCATCATCACTATTAGGCATAGTAAGTCTTTAGCACATAATCCATACATACATTCCTTAATATAAATCCAGCTCTCATCTTCAATGGAGAGTTTACCTTTCTGAAATTTACTTTTTGTTGTTCCTACCTGTGGAATGCTAAGGGCCTCATCAAATTATTTAGCTGCAGTTGATACAAATTCCCAAACCCAAGAAAAGAATTAAGAATGACAAGAATAAAACAACCACTTTAATGAATCATCTGCTGAATTTATTATTATTATTGGTCTGATTGTTTCCGCCTTCAGATGCAGGAGAGTCAGAGTTCTCCTCTGCAGCATCATCAGGATTCTCAACTACCGAAGCCACAGCTGGTCTTCCTCCCTTGCAAGCGCCACCTTCAGCAACCCATCATCTCCGTTCCTCTCCACGAGCTACTACATCATGTCACAGTCTCTGGAACCCAAATCATTAGGGCTCAGATGGAGCTGCAATGTGGTGCCTGTGGTCATGTCAGTTATCTTTTGTGTATTTCTCCTACTTTAGCCCGCATTGGCGGGACCATTTCCTCCATAATTTGCTTGCAGGAGGAGAGACGTGATGTGTACTCACTCTTCCAACCAAAGTTAAACGTGACACGCCACATGAATCACGTGTATGTTTCTGTTGCACATTTTTGAAGGAGATAAAATTTTAAAATTAAAAGAATATTTTTCTATAAATATATTACATGAGATATTTATAAAAAAAAATAAAATTATAATTATAATCCCCATAGTTGATATGTTACTCATCATGAATGATAAAAGATTAGTAATGTTTTGATGGATTGGTTTCAATTTTTTGTTGGACTAGTTTTAATTTAATTAGACAATTTAAATCCAAAGCCATTTTTTTGAACTCATCAACTGCTCATCATTAATGACAAAAAAAATTAGAAATTTTTTGATGGATTGGTTTCAGCTTAATTAGAAAATCCAAATCCTCTCCACTCGAAGGTTTTTCTTTGAGTTCCGATCCTCTCCGCTTCATATGGATTCCAAACTCTTCTCCACCATTCAGATTTCGGAGTTGGAATCTTGCAGACCTTCGCACCAATTGAAGAGAATCCAATCTTTGCTTCCGTTTACTCTCTCAGTTCAACTCGGATGGAGTTTGGCCAAGTTTTGGATCCCTTCAGAGACTAACCCACAACACAATTAGACAGCTCTACCTGCTCTAGTAACCCTGAATGCTGATTCAATTCGAATCTAAATCAAATCTATTCAGAACTACGATTTCAAACCAAACTGGGTTGCAAACCGACTAAAAATAATAATAAAAAAACTATCTCAGTATTGATTTTTGATAGGAAAAGTACCGACATCACTAACTCATCCCGCCACATGGGCTGAGCATGCCACCTAAGCAAAAGTATAGGAGCTCCCATTGACTCCCTGCAGTCGTCAACAGAAGATCAGCCCAGCTTCCTAAAAGGGTCCGCAAAAATTACTCATAGCTGACATCATAGTTGAAGAAAGGGTCACTTCCTTGTGTTAATAGTTTGGGCATAGTTCGGCTCCTCCACATCCCTCCCTTCGAACGATTAAAGGAGAGACCACTCCCTTCTTGACTCAAAAAGATAAAAAAATAAGATAGGAAATGTCATCCCAATGACCTAGCGTCGACACCAGCCATGGGACAACGTGTTGGTATAAAAACCAGTCTTTATTGTCAGGTACCCAGGTATAAAAACTAGGCCCCATACTAAACAAGGGCAAGCGTGTAAACACCACACTCTCCTGAGTATAGTTAACTCACTCCTTTCCCGTTTATCTAACTTAAGTATCGGAGAGGTCATGCTGGGACATCTCTCCAGTGCTGACCAATCGTGCAGGATCCCTAGCGTAGCTGAGGAGGCATTGCAAGACGGCTCTCATGGGCAAGACAATCTGTCTTTTCAAATTAGTTTGCTCCCTCCATAAGCGGAAAGCTCTCTACACCTATGCCTCAGGTCAGTTCTTCACAGTAACTCTCTGCGCTAGCTCCTCGAAGGCCAACTCTCTGCACTAACTCTCCACGCTCGCGCCACATACTACCTCTTCACAATAGTTCTTCGCATCAGCTCTCTAGGAAGGACGTGCACTTTCGACGTTAGACCAAATCAAGTTACTCATCAATTGTCTCAGTATAGTAATTATTTTGAATTTGATAAAATTAAAATCAACTATTCAAAAATCGATGTAGAATCATGATGGTTAGGATTAGTTCAGGGTTGAAAGAGGAAATTGTAGTACCATTGTTTAGAATGATAGATATTAAACTTTATTAGTTCCTATATGCATAATTTTTTTTATCATAAACAAGGCTTTAGCTGTGGAACAATTTGTTGCCTATAGAACATAAAACACATTATTTTATTATGAGCTAATTATAAATTAACATTGTGATCTCTATATTTCTAAAAATTATATTAAGATTTTTATATTTATAAAAAATAAAATATTTAATTTTGTTTTTTCTTATGTCGATACATGTTCAGTAATAAATTAAAATGAGATAGAGTAAACACATGATTAATGGTATGATATTTCATCAGTAGAGTCGTTGGCGTAAAAAAAAACGAATTAAATATTTTTTTTCATAACTATAAAAATTTTAATATAATTTAAAAAAAATATAAAAATTAAAAGTTTAAAAATAAATTATTATAAGAGATAAATTACTGAAGATAATATATAATTAACACTTTTGTTGCAGAAGATAAGTCGCGGCGTGGGAATGAAACCGAAGCAGTCTTGAAAAATGCAGAGACGCGGAGGGATCAACAACCGGTGGAGCGACAATGGTAGCAAAAGAAGAGAGAGAGAGAGAGAGAGAGAGAGAGAGAGAGAGGGTAAACAACAGCCTCAAATCTTGCCACAGAACCAACCGCTCTTACAACAACACAGGCAAAAAAGATAGGGTTCATATGACACTGCCTTGCCATCGCTCTGCTCGGAGAAATGTGGTGCAGAAATTGTAGAGTCGGGTGCGTGCCCCCTTCCATCCATCTCCCCCTCCTGCAGAGCTATGGCTGTCTGTACATACACACACAAGACACGGCCGGCGAATCCTGTGCTACTCGCCCTCGTAGCTCGAACTGTAGCCGCTCAACGTGGGAGTGATGTTGGCGGAGGAGCTGCCGCCGCCGCCGTCTTCCTTGGCCTTCTCCCCGTTCCCGAAGAAGGCCTTCGGGATGACCGCGCGGACTAAACTCCCCAAAATCCTGGCTTTCACTTGCCCTCGCCTCGGCGGAGGCCTTCTTCCCTTTCTCGTGTTGCTCTCGGCCACCCGGTACTCCATGGCTGCTGCCGAAAGCTACAAGAGAGGTCTGTGGAAGGAGATGATGGGAGAGTCGTCTGATGGAGAGGGGATCGAGCTGCGGTGCCGGTATATATACATCACCTTGCAGTTCGAACTGAAACAGTAGAAGAAGGTCTGAAACCTTCAGAAGGGACGGGCCAGAGTCGTTCAACCAACGAGCATATGGAATCGATGTGTGTGAACTCACCCTTCGGTTGACCGACACGCTTCGCTTTCATACCTGCGCTAATGATGATATTGGACGGCTACAGCCGAAGCAAAGCGACACAGCTGTTCCTTCTAAGATCCTACTTAAGTGGTCGTAGATCGCCAGAATCCAGGAATAATATTTGGATGGGAGGAGTGAAAGGATTATATATATATATATATATATATATACTTAATGTATTATTCCGACATCAAATTTGATAGATTTTGTTTGAAAAAATCTATCACCAATTGTTAGTCCCATGAAATCCATGAGTCGCATCAAAAGAGAATGGAAGACAGACAAAGAACACGAGAGAACAGCAGGTGACCCGACTGGCCAATTGGAACAAGAAAAAGAGATTACAAGATGCTCGGATTTCTCCTTTTGACTGCAGCATGAAGAAGACGAGAGGATGGGCCAATAGGGAGCGGACAATTCTGCCAGCTCGCATCTTTGTCATGAGCTTCCGTTGGTCGGTGTCCTGCAGCTTTATCAACGTGTAGTTTCTTTTGAAGAGAATGCCTGACCATGGTTTAGTACGACCAGAGTTAGCTTTATCAACATGTAGTTTCTTTTGAAGAACGCCTGACCATGGTTTAATGCGACCAGAGTTAGCTTCATCGGCATCCTGATTGCTCAGGAGATTGGCCACATCTTTTTATTCAAGAGGCATGAAAAGAAGGATGAAGGCATACTTTATAATTATCATGGTGAAAGAATAATAATTCAAGTAGAAAAGGTAAAGGGCACCATGAGTTTTATATGATTATTATGTTCACCGTAGATTCACTTATAGAGTATATATATAAAAGAATATAAGGATAATTAGTATCATAAGGTATGCAAAAATATTTGAAAAGGTTTATTAAAAAAACAAAAAATTAAAAGTTTTTTCAGGTAGTTCGCCTATTATTTATTCAACACAACTATACGGATCCTAAATATAGTAGAGTTCTCAACAAAGTGATAGAGCGGCAAGGGAATAAGCTAAGTAATTTAAATACATCCTGATATGAATCCGACCTAAGACATCGACATCCATTACAGAAGGAGCATTCGATTTCTTTTACACGATAAAAAATAGAAAAAGAAAATCATCCTGCTTGTCCTTCATGTCGGTGCACGGACACAACGGAACTTTGTTCTCCAAGATTCACATCTGAGCTTTACATAAAGAGTATCGGCATTTTGTTACTCGGTAGTTGTTTCGGTTCTTCATTTTGGCCTTAAGGACAGCAGGAGCAGTTGTCTTCAACTATTCATCTCTGATTTTACATGTAAAAAATATTTTCAATGATGATAACTGATCTTGCAGAAGTGCGATAGAAATTGTAGGACATATTTCTTTTGTGTTAAAACAGAACTTACTTACGGTAAAGATATCAGGGGAAATTATCCCACAATCTATTAGGAACAGCATGCTTCGATAACTTCTTCCACGTCAGGATCATCTCCAGCTTCTTTGTCCTGTCGACAAAAAGAGGTCATTGGATAAACATGTCAATCCAATAACGACGAACTCAATTCAGATCTACAGGGAAGTTTGTGATAACAAAAGAGAGCAAAATAGAATTCACTTTACAAAACACAATGGTGTACACTTGGTATTATTAGGTGAACCTATGGCACAATGCCGAGTTATATTGTTCATCTTGTTCTAAAAGATGGACTCTTGCTTTTTTGATTCTAATGATGTTCTGCCTTTACATGGGAATATCAATTTAATGTCTAGAACAGAGAATGTGATATCCGGTTACAAGTATGCTTACACACGTGTGGCCAATTTACAACACACAAAAAAACAAATGATACAAAATTCCATACTAACCACAAGAAAAAAATATGGTAAACATGTTCAAGAAATAACACCTGAACAATTACCAATTTGGTCACACATATTTTAGGACTTGAGACGGTGATACATTCGTCATATAACTTTGGCGAAGTATTTGTGTATCATGCAAAGGTGAAAGAAAGGAAAAAATTTCTTGGCTACACTCCCTTAGGTTAACATATAAAGGCTTTTGACCATAATCATTAATCAACCCTCATCTAAGGCTATGGTTTGTTTCGCAATTATCTCTCTTCATACAAGTGAAAATAAGTATATAACATGATACGAATGACAACCAATTCCAAGAGATTATTTCAACAGAAAGGAAGTGCTAACCTTGTGGATGTATAAGATGTTGCTCACTCCGGGACCTGCTACAATTATGCCTCCTTGTTGCCTAAAAGAAGAAAGCATGAGTTGTTTTATAAGAGAAGCACACTAGAATAATATGGAAACATGTCAGCTTACTCATTATTAATTAGTTAATAAGAATGCCGTAACATGCCAACCAAGTCATCATATGTTACTAGTTTTAATCATTTGACCCTTTTCCACATGCAATGTTTTTTTCTTACTCCATTTTCCCTTATTTCTGGGATCTTGAACTTGTTGTGTAATATAGAATGTGAGTGTTAACATAAACAAATCTCAAATAATAGTCAACAAGAGATAAAATACGTAAATTTATCTGTAAAATTGACCATGAGAGTTCTGCATACATGTGCTATGTTTTGGCGTCATCCACCTATTAAGTCAAACCACATAATATAATTCATAAAACTTCATGTACAAATCATAAAACATCTTTCTTTTGTAATTATAATATAGGAAATTCCATAGTTGATGCCTATTATGCTGTTCGGAACCTGTGTCGGGGTCCAACTTCTAACAATAATGGCAAAAATATCAAGCAAATTGTGTATAATAAAAAATGCACCTATCAAGATTGAGTATGGATCAATTTAGATCCAGAAAGCTGCCGTGATAGAAATCAAGTCATTCGAATGGGTTGTTTTGCAGTATAAACCATTACCTCATCATCATTCTTTACAAGCTCTGACATGAACTAAGCTTTCATTAGTGGTAAGAGAGTATTTTTCCGAATTATATTTACTTTCCTGCATGTCTCTGATCTGAACCTTTGTGTTAAATTGTTGATAGGAAGGAATGGGCCAGCAAGAGTGAACAATCCTGCTGTCTTTTTCACTGTTTGCCTTTTAATCTGTTACTTTTTTTTTATCGCCTGCTAATGCTCTTTATATTTATTCTGATAGTTATCTAATGATATTAAGATTCCCAAGTCAAACAACATATTCACAATTCACAAACACAATTTATATTAACTGTCTCTGATGTTGCGTACAAAACATGGAAATTTAGGAGGAAACAGCCATCACAGACCTAAGTAAAAGATTTTATTTTACAATAGTCACTTACCAACCACCTCTTGCCACCGTATCCTTTTTAAATGAAAGCCCCCAGTCCTGTCTATATCCTTCTAAGTATAATTGTACGATTTTCATACCAGCCTGAAAAAGACAAATATGATAGATCAGATATTTCACAAAAATGTTACCTTTTTTTAAAAGAAAAAAAATTCCTAATCTGATTTTTGCATATATAGTTCTTTTCTTTAATATCTAAAAATGGAAGATTTTACAATACATACAGATGGAGAAAAAGTTGTTGATACGCCATAAGCAAAATTAAGTGCATCATACGATGAATGGGTGGGATCCGCATAAACTTCTGCATGAAGGCATTTTAATTGCTAAAATCAGATCAATTGACATTAGCCAAAATGGAGAAGTGATTGACTCATAATAAGCAACGTCCTACAGGACATGAAATCTTTTGATTCATAGTAACCAAGCATCCTGATTTCTACTTCATGTTCCAGTTAGAAAATTTTTACATTTGGAAGAAAACATTAGTGGTAGAAAAAACTTCCAGATAAAGAATAATATGAACACCTGGTTGAATGGTTTTAACAAAAAGTGAGGATCTAGGCAATATAATTGCTCTCTGCATAACAGGTGAAGTTGTGAATTGCATTTAAGCCAATGACAACCGACAGTATATAAACTCTCGAGTGTCCTCAGTATGATCTAGAAATATGTTTCAGATTGTATGAAAGCGTACCTCCTTTGAATTTGGTTTGCTCAACAAATGCCTTTGCCTGCACCAAAATAGTCATACGTACAAAATAGTGAATATTATAATTAATGAAGTAGCATAACTGCATGAGCCAGAGGTTTTTCTTGCAGATAGAAACATCACGATTAGTGTTTTATCAACATTGATAGAGAAAAAGTCTTTCATATTGGATAATCTACTGAAAAACGTATGATAGTGGCTAAATCAATATACTACTTTCTAGTCGTTGGTCATATTTGTGGCTAGTGATGCCCAAGATCCCTGTTAAGAAAAGAGCACACACTTCACCAGTTCCTCCAGTTATAGAAATTTTCATACTTTTCCTTGATCAAACTTAACATGTAATCTTAATATTTGTAATTGGTTTTAGATACATGTTTATTTTAGATAATTACTATCTAACCTAAATTTGCATTGTAAGGAATTAGTAACTAATTAATAAAGGATCCAAGTCAGGATGAATGTGTAAAAGGAATCATTCTTTCCCTGCACATTGACAAATAACACCTTATCCTACCAGTAAATGCTTGGAATTTGGTTACAAAAATGTGTGGATTCAAACAATGACTCTCACATCATATTAGTAAATGCCATACCTGTTCAGTACTACCAGGTCCAACCAAAACAAGAGCAACTCCAGCTGAATCCATCAATTCCTAGAAATCGCAACCAAGAAAGAGAATACAAGTGAGGGATAATATTTTGTGCATTGTACCAGCTCGCACAGCATGAATTTCAAGGTTGAACAAAGTAATATTTGTGGAGAAATGTATGTATATACATATATGCATACACATATACACACACACATATATATGTATGTATACACTATACATATATGTATATACATATATATACATACTATACATATATGTATATACATATATATACATACTATACATACATATATATATATACATACTATACATACATATATATACATATACATATACATATATATATATACATATACATATATATATATACATATACATATATATATATACATATATATATATACATATA